TCTACAATCTTGACGCAGTTTCTGAAAATGGCTCTGTTTCGTTTTCATTTGGCCACCCTGTATATGGTACCAAATAGTATTACATTACTTTGATTATTTACACATTTTTCTACTATTGCTGCAGGTCATTAGAAATTTATTATAAACCAACAGTGTAGAAAAATTTAGTGAAACATAAGAATCCTAATATAGAGCAGCCTTTACTACTTTATTTAATACAAGCGGCCCGTCCCGGCTTCGCGCGGGTGGACGTTTATTTTAAACATTTTGGGATATAAAAAATATAGCCTATGTTACTATGTAGCATTCTAATAGTGAAAGAATTATCGAAAACCGTCCAGTAGTTTTTGAGTTTATTCGTAACAAACATACATACATACAAAAATACAAATCTTTCGTCTTTATAATATTAGTATAGAATAAAACTTGCTGTATTTCAAATATTCTTGGGAAAATTTGCAAAGTTGCCGAAGAGGGTACTTGAGAAAACATATGGGTTTTTATTAAAGAAAACATGTTTACATTCTGGAACTGAAGTACAACAAAACAAAAGTAATGTAACATAATAACGTTTTAATTTTTAATAAAATACATTTTACAAAATCAGTATTATTTCTTAATTTCTGGAACGTGCTTGTCATTTAGAATATTTTTGCTGTATTCCAATTTATATAAAGTATCAGTTATTCAAATAGTAAAGAACAAAATCAAATGCAAATATTCATAATTGTATGTTTTCATGATTTAATTGAACGAAAAGGAATATTGACCACGAGGTAATGTCTATATCGTGTAGGAAAAGGATTTGAATACTTCAGTCATATTTAAAGAGATGCAATTTACGATTTTGCAATATTCTCAGGTTTACTTTTAAGAAATTTATCGATAAGTAAGGAAATTATATTCGTTACAAATAGGCCAGATTTTATTTCTTGCTGAAATACGTCAAACATTTGTTCGTACGCTCTGGTGTTTGCTTGTGCTCAAGATTTTAAATCCAGGTGTGTCATCACTGGAAGGAATTTAATCGAAATCGTTGTTTATCCGGTCTGTCTAGATCAGCAGTGGATGTGAGCAAATAATGTTTGCTCGCTCGCAAATGTGTCCCACAACAAATGATTAATTGCAATAATAGCTCGCTCGGTTCGTTCATGCTTGTTTGTTTTTGGTTTATTTCACCTTCAGAAAACGATCGACATGACTTTGACACAAATATTAGTCCTGATATGAAAAATGACAAAAAGAAACAATTATAAATGAAAAGAAAAACAATAATAAATAAGAGGCTCCATACACCTCATATTTGATGATTTTGCTCGTAGAGTAAAATGCGTATTTGCCCGTTAGTCCACAAACCTTAGATTTACTGTTTTGCTCGAGAGAAATTTAGCCGACGGATAAAATTATCGAGGATGAACGAACTGTATGGGCTGTCTTTCCATTTGTGAAGTTTGATGGAAATGCTGTTTTTGTGATCTATATACTTTATAGTGCCGTCGCCGAAAAAGTCAGCTTGGTATATAGTGTGATTACTAAGTGGAGTCATATTTTTTAAAAGCGTGTAGAATTACCCAAAACAAGAATTATTTTCAAATTCTATTTTTTAAATAACTCCAAAATAAGCTAGTTGCAACCTTATATAGTTGTAAAAAAATCAAACTGGGCCTTGCAAAGAATTTTAGCAGGCTAATGCCTGCATATTCAGAATAAACGGTACAGAAACATTTTGTGAACGTCTTTCTTTTTTTTATCTTGTATGTTTGTATCGGTTCTATCGTAGAGTTTGACCGTGACCTTTGGTTGAATAATTCACTTGCAATTGCCCATGTTTATGACAATAATGATTAGTTGATATGTTATTAATTATGGAGAATCGTCAGAGTGCTAATACTACACCCGAGTTCACGGGTTCATTCCTCACTGCGATCATTTGTTCGGATTATGCAAAAGAGCAGAGACAACGCCGATTTGCGGAAATATCCTGGACGACATGTGGAAAGACTTAGACAACCAGAAAATCTTTAAAGAGTATTATTGTTGGAGATCTAACAAATACGTGAAAATTTGCACGTTAAGTTGAACTGAGACAAAAAAAATTTTGGACAACATTGTGGGAAAGTCAGTTGTACTCACTTCATGAGGAACAAGTTCAAGCCTTATAGCCACAAGACCACTCCAACAGAGTTCAGTTTTTCGAGTGTCTTTTGTGATAATAGGATGAACCAAAAATTTATCAGAAACATTTTGATTATGGACGAGTCTACATTTATTCGAAATGAAATTAACAACTGTCCTAATACTTATGTTTGGTTTATCGTCGACGGTATTCTTGTTGGATCTTTTATCATATCGGATCCTTTAATGGACGAAAACTATCTGGAAATTTTGCAATGTCATCATCCAGGTTTTCTAGAAAATATACCTCTAAATATCACGATGAAGATGTGGTTGTTTCAAGATGGGGCTCCAGTCCATTTTGCATGTGCGAAAGTTCTTACATTAGTTTCTTTAATAAATGGGTAGATCGTGGATTGCCAGTTGCGTGGCTCGTCAGGTCAGCAGATCTTAACCCCTGTAATTTATTTTTATTGAGTCGAATGAAGAACTTATTTTTTAAACGTCAACACATTTTCTTTAAATTCAAGGCAGAACCGGAATAAATATTATTTTCGAAATTAAAACGTTTTTTATTTTAAGCTTCTTGAAAAACGATGAATAATAAAAATAAAAATGTTTTTTAAACGTGTTTTATACGCTATAAAAATATGAGTCAACTTAGAAACCACCCTGTATTCACGAAAATTATCCAAGGTAAAAATGTTAGTCATAATTTTTAATTTGATCGATATTGCTCATTCCTCATTCCACTAGTCGTTTTCACTTAGATGATTGATTTTGAATATAACTAATTTCCTGCGGGGAACCCATAGAACAGTCTTGTACCAAGATCGAACTGGGCGCTGTATTAGCTATTTATTGGTATCTTGGAATCTATAAGAGATAGGAAAATGGTTAGATGGGTAAAGTTTTAGACAGTTATGTTGCTTGACGATTGCAGACCGCTCAAAGCTCTTTTTGATTTATTTTGAAAAAAAGTAAATTAGTCGTTTTCAAAAATTGTCTGTAACTTTTTTATTTAAGTATAGGAATTTTTAAAATCTGCAAAACACTCTTTCACAGCAGTTCAGTTTTTTCGAGGAATTTCAGTGTATATTTAGATTTTCATTGAGACGTTTCCATCATCATCTTTCTTTTTTCTTAAGGGGGCCATAGTGAATTCTAAGCTGAGCAAATAGAGCATTTTTTTGGCTTTTCAATGATATAATATAAGTAAGAACAAATTTCAAATCTCAGAAAGCTATATTTTAGAATTTTTAATATTTAAATCTGGCAACAGCGCATACTTTTTCGAAAGTATTATAGAATAGTCTCAAATTTTTGTAAAAGCTTATCATTAATGTCATGGCGTTGATTGAAAAAATCACGCATTGCGTTATTCCAATAAAGAAGAATGTAATATGTTGGAGTGCTTTATTAAAAATAATAGAAAAGAAAATAGAAAAAAATAGTTACATTGGAAATTATCCCGAAAGACAACCACCTAATGAAATGCATTTTTTCTAAATTTATTACAAATTTGAGAATATTTGGAAGTTTTAAAATAATAATAATTATTAATATTATTAATAGTTTGAAATAATAATATCTGGGGCAATCAAATAATAGATTATTTCAACAACAATCCAATATCATCAACAACACTATAGAGAAATAAACATCGGGATTATTATTCAAAATGTTGTCCATTTTTGACTATGCAGGACCGGTCTGTAAGCGCCATTAAGTTAGCAACAGAATTGTCTAAAACTCTCGTCATCTAACCAAATATCTCTTATAGTTTTCAAGATACCAAAATATGCATCACCAAAATAATGGTCCACACTGTATAATAAAAACAACTGGAAACACTAAACGCATAACGTATGCGTTTGGTGTTTACGAAGACTCGCTACAGAGCCTTCATAAATGATTACAAGCCACGTGACCGGTAATTTTGTTTGGGACAGTAATTTTATTTTTTTCACGTTGGCAATTAAATTTCGGTAAAATTAAAAATTATTAAAACAGCAAGATCAAGATTACGTTAAAACGGAATATTCTCTTTCACCGGCTGGTGATTGATGTAACTGTCACGAGATTTTATTCAACTAATCAGCATTATCTCGAGCGTAGACGTAACGGTTTTTGCAATGTTCATTGTAAACGAATCATTAATATTGATGAAGCTAAGATATAGGGATTTTTATTGACAGTTGACAGTACCAGTACCCAACCAGGCTGGGTTACCTAAGCTCGGTGGTCACGTGGCTTGCAAACATTTATGAAGGCTCTGTATAATGTGTCCTTAAAACATCATGTTTTGTAAAAAGTAATGAATTGCTACGACGTTTCAATGATATTTAAGTAATTTTAACAATGTGAATGTATAAAGGTTAAATCCAATAAAGTAGGTACTATACAGGATGCTTTTAAAATAGGATGCCAAAGTAAAACGAGAGAGAGGAAAAGTCATTTTAAGCAAAAAGTTTTCTAGGAACATATCCGAGAACGCTTAGTAAAAAAGTTACAGGGGTAATGAGGATGCACTGCCAAAAGTATTTTTTTTAATAACTCGAAATGGCTTATTAAATACTAACGAAACTTGGTATAGGACAGTTTATCGACTGCAAAAGTTTCGGAAGATTACTTTTTTCACAATGGTAGTGGGTACCTAATTGAGAGTTCTCTCCTTATGAAAAAAAATGTTTGCGTCATTTACGTTAAAATATTTACTGAAAGAGTACTTTAAAAGGTCACTCTCGTTAAATATCAATATGCTGAAACGTTTTCGAGTTAACTAGCAGTAAACATTTTTATGCATTTTTGGAAATCTACCATTAACAACTTTTTTCTAAAGGTTTACAAAAAGAACACACACAGTAAATATATAAAGTACTTACCTGGCATTCATCCAGCAGTATATAATGGGATTGTACATAGAATTACTCATGGCCAACCAGTAAATTGCTAAATAGGTTTCTTGAATGTAGTCAGCGTGTGTTATCGAAGGAAAATAGTATGTCACGATGAAATATAACTGATATGGAAGCCAACATACTGAGAATATTATAACTACGACAATCATCATTTTTACGATCTGAAACAAATTATTTCCATGAAAAAAGATGCATTTTCGGGAACATATATATTATACAGGGTTGGAAAGTACCGATGGTCTATCTGAAGTTACGTGAGAGCGATAAAGTAAGCCAAAGAAATCCATGTGATAGACAAGGATGGGTATAGTGAAGGCGTCTAATAGTCACCGCCCATTTCGCCATTCCACAAATAAGATCCACTTCTTATTTGTGGAAGGGCGAAATGGGCGGTGACTATTAGACGCTTTTATTATAGCTATCTTTTTCTATTGCACGGATTTCTATGACTTACTTTATCGCTCTCACGTAACGGCAGATCGACCATCGGTACTTTCCGAACCTGTATATCGAGAATATCCTTTTTACGTCTTGTCGTCACCAAGTGAAATGAAAAAGAACGTAACATATTAGCAGATGTTCAGTCACCATTTCATATACCTATATTGTATACTTTGATTAGTGTTACTTAAATGTAACTTTTCCATTACCGCTGACGGTAATATGAATTTACGGCGTTGAATAAATTTTTTGAGTGAATACTATTAAAATTTACAAGTGTATAATAGGCAATCAATACATTTCGTAGAAATTAATTTTATAACTGCTTCTCAGCAGTTAATGAAAGTAAAATATTGAGACCAACAACTTGCTGATTGTCAGCACCCCTCTGAAATTGAACTAAAAAGGATTTTAGTTCTTAAGTTCTAATAAAATTTTATATTCAATTCTGTCAAAAAACGTTTTTTATTAACAGTCGTTAGAAAAATCGGTTATAAGAAAAATGGTTCATATGTCCTTGCTTCGTTTCCGAGTGTTTGATGAAATATTTTATGTGAATTCATGAAATTAGTGCTGTCTTGACTACCTGATCTATCAATCAATGACGGATATTGGTATAGGAAAGTGTCGTATATTATTTCATCATTCATTTGGGCGGGAATCTATAATATAGGGAGAACCGGCATTTTTACCGAACTTCTCATGTATTGTCTGCGGTACTGGTACACTTGTTCCCCGCTCCCGACAAAGAGGCAAACGAGATATTTGGACACCTCCCTCGTCATGCCAAACTGAACGGACGCTTGGGTGTGTGGATGTTGTGCTGGTCGATTGTCCTCTGTTGGTGGCGAGGTATATTCCGAAAAATATGGGAAACAATCTAATTTATTCTTTCGTCTACTTTGGTACACCCTCGGGGTGGCATGGTGTTCTGGAGGCTTTCAACTGAGCCTAATTGCACTAACAATAAATGTTTTTGTCGACACTGAGTATAGTTACTTTGGTCTCTATACGGATGTCTCATAATTAGCTGCCAACCCTGAACAGGCCGATTCTATGATCAAAACTAAGTAAAAAAGTTCATATGAACATGGGTCCGGAAATGCTTCCTAAGGGCACAGGGACCCATTGAAGAGGGAGGAATGGAAATCATTTTTTTGCAATATCTCTCAATCGCGTTGTGATAAATGAATGAAATTTGGTATACACAGCTAAATTTTGATGAGCAATTTGATGGACTAATCCATTTATTTCCACAAGGTCCATTGGGGTGGGTACGGGGGGGCCCTTGGTACTTTGCGTGTGTAACTTTTTCATCTTTGACTTTTTAACAAATTGGACAGCAAATTCCGTTTTCCCGAACTGTTTTACGTTAAAAAGGTACTCTTGTTTCAAATCGTTATCTTTAACGGTTTCTGAGAAAATCGCTCTTGAATTAATCCCACTTTGGTCAATTTCATAGTAATTTAAACAAAAAAAAATAATAATAATTTAATACGTAATCAGTAATACACATTATTGATGTAGAACAATTATGATATGATGATTTGTTTATGGCTTTTGCGATGGTAATGCTGCGCGGCAGAACGCGAGTACGGCAGAAGGTTTCCAAACAGAAGGCTGACATCAAGGAGGACATTCCTCACTGTATTCCGCAATTTAGCTGCAACCGTCACTTTTCGAAGGGATCATAAGATGGAAACTTAATTTTGATAACAGACAACAAGCTATTTTAAAAACTGTTCAAAAAACCCTCCACCTTCTCTGATACAAAGTCTTGCCCTACGTGTAACACTTCTCGAAGCTATTAAGATGCTAAAACGGTTTTGACGAATTTCATTGGCTGCATCATTGATACGCTGCAGCAATTCCTCACGGGTATCGACTTCGGTGGCGTAAACTTTTTGATTTAGATATCCCCAGAAAAAGAAGTCCAGCGGGGTTAGGTCGGGAGAACGCGGCGGCCAAGCTACCGGTCCGTGCCTCCCTATCCACCGTCCAGCGAAATTTTCGTTTAGGAAATTTAGAACATTGCGACCACTATGTGCCGGGGCTCCATCGTGTTGAAAAAACATGTTACGTCGTAAATTTAGAGGCAGATCATCGAGAATTTGGGGAAGATTTTCTTGAAGTAAGTTTAAATAAAGATTTGAATTGAGACGTTGTGGAATTTCAATAGGTCCAATCAGAGTGTCGTGAATTATTCCCGCCCATAAATTTATGGAAAACCGTTGCTGGAAGTTTGTTCTCCGAACAACATGTGGGTTCTCTTCTTCCCAATAATGAGAATTATGAAAATTTAATTTTCCATTTCGGGTAAAAGTAGCTTCGTCACACCACAAAATTTTGGAAGCTTGCTCGTTGTCCAGCGACAAAATCCAGCGACAAAATTGCATACGTGGCGCAAAATCTTCTGGTATCAAGCCATGTACACGTCGATAGTGATAGGCATGTAGACCTTGTCGCTTTAATATTCTTCCAACCTGAAATGTTAGTAGCACATCTAATCAATTCTGTTAAGGAAATCTTTAAGATATGTAGTACCGTTGGCCGAGGAACATTTATTTGCCTTGAAATGTTCCGTATGCTAGTCGTAGGATCTTGTTCAATAGCGTCAAGGACCTCCGCTTCCCTATTAATCCTGGGACGTCCTTGACCCGGTGCCTTTCGAAAAGTGGCGGTTGCAGCTAAGTTGCGGAATACCGTAGGGAATGTCCTCCTTGATGGCAGCCTTCGGTTTGGAAACCTTCTCCCGTACTCGCGTTCTGCCGCTGCAGCATTACCATCGCAAAAGCCATAAATAAATATCATATCAACTAACTCTTGTCCCGTAAACTCTTCCATTTTTTTCGCTTAGAACTATTAAATTGGCAATCGGGTTGACAATACTTTGACATAAGAATACCTTGATAATTTTGTTTAAATTACTATGAAATTGACCAAAGTGGGATTAATTCAAGAGCGATTTTCTCAGAAACCGTTAAAGATAACGATTTGAAACAAGAGTACCTTTTTAACGTAAAACAGTTCGGGAAAACGGAATTTGCTGTCCAATTTGTTAAAAAGTCAAAGATGAAAAAGTTACACACGCAAAGTACCAAGGGCCCCCCCGTACCCACCCCAATGGACCTTGTGGAAATAAATGGATTAGTCCATCAAATTGCTCATCAAAATTTAGCTGTGTATACCAAATTTCATTCATTTATCACAACGCGATTGAGAGATATTGCAAAAAAATGATTTCCATTCCTCCCTCTTCAATGGGTCCCTGTGCCCTTAGGAAGCATTTCCGGACCCATGTTCATATGAACTTTTTTACTTAGTTTTGATCATAGAATCGGCCTGTTCAGGGTTGGCAGCTAATTATGAGACACCCTCTATACATAGTTGTCTTTTAGGCTTTGCCGTGCCTAACACTGGTTTCACGGTCTCCTGTGAGTGCCTGAAATGTGGAAGATTCTTGAAGCTTGTTTGTGTAGGGCTTTTACGAGTAGCTTCTAGGAGCTTGCAGTTTCCCTTAAGATCTTCACCGCTGGATTAGATAATGCCCGAGTGGATGGGGCTCTACAACTGAGGTTCAGTCCATGCTCGCACAAATTTGTGAAAACTTAACTTGACTGAATTGTAGAAATTAGTGATTTACTGATAAATATTATTTGCAATAAATGCATGTGCAATTTATGATTTCCAGAGGTATTAAACAATGGAAATAATAATAAAGGAGCGTACTACACGTTTTAGCCAGGTTCCTTTCCTGGTTTCTAAACTGCAAGGTACCAAGGTCGACGTTCGATTCCATTCCTTGATGGGTCCGCAGATGTCCAGTATCGAAATCCGTTTTAGGTTCGAACAATTGGCGTTTTTGAATTTTATTCATCTTTGGATTGTAATCGTCTGGAACGGGTGATCGACTTGTATTATGATGTTTTGATTTTACCTTTAGCCCAGTTACTGTAGCTGAAAATATAGTAATACCTCTGAATATTTTATAACTGCATCGATTTTTCTCAAAATTTAGAATTAGGCTCATCTTACCCCCCACTTCAAAACTTATATATGCGTTAGGTGTGCTTTTTGTTCTTAAGGGGTGAAAACCACCCCTTATTGGAAAAAAAAGAAAAAATACAAATTTAAGCGTTTTATGTAATCTAATCTTTTTTATTTATGCAGTTTGGGTAATTTCATGTGCTATATAACATGAAACTTAATGTATCCCAAATTTGCAACCCGACAAACCTAAAAACCACCCCTTTGGATGAAAAAAAAGTTTTCAACATGAAACGTTTTAGTTATGCATTTTTATCAAATTAAAATTGATTTCTTGATTAAAAAATCTTTTTTATCGATTGCAACTTTTCAACCCTTGAAAAATACCCCCTCTTTCGAAAAAAAAATGAAAAAATATTATTGAAAGAGTAGAAACATTTTAAATGTGCATTCGTATTAAATAAACATTTATTCCCTTCTTATAACATAATTTTGAATTGACTGCAACTTTTCAACCATTACTAATTAATACTTTAAATCACTAGATAGATTTCACAGGGTCTAACGACACTTAGAGTGTACGATAATTCAATAAACAAAGAAATCTAAATAAACAAATTAGATAAATTTGGAACGAATACACTGAAGATGAATTTTTCGAGACAAAACGTCTGAATCTGGTTTGGGCTGAGGCAGTACAGTATTGGGGGTCGTGAGGGGTCGTATTTAAAAA